TGCAGCAGGCTGCCACTCGCAGCACTTTCTTGTTTTCGACGCGCTCTCACGCCTGCACCCCCCCCCACTCCCCTGCCCCCCCCCACTCCCCTGCCCCCTGGCTTTGAAGGCGGGCCGGCCGGTGCAGGGAGCCCACAGCCCGGCCCTCTGTGAAGTGCTCTGGGGGGCTGTCTGTGGCCCGCGAGGTTGCCCAGCGGAGTGTCTAACAGGAGATAGCGCCGGGCTGTGGGGCCCCGCTATCAGTGTGGGGGGGCGGGGGGCGGGGGGGGCGCCCGCTTGGCTCTCGCCTCCTCATTAGGCGCCTGTCAGTGTAGCAGAGTGTGCCTGAGGCTCTGCAGGGCCAGGGACAAGTGCAGATAGGCGGCAGCCCGCTGATCAAAGCTGCCCGCGGGGTACTGATAAGCCAGCCGCGTTTCATGTCCCAGGTATCTGGGGGGGGCGCACAACAACACTCCCTCCCCACACACCCCATCCTCCCCCATGGACTGTCTCTTGTTTATGTCGCACACCACAAAAGCCAGACTAACTACCACCCACCCCCCCTTCTGTTTTATCACGGGGGTGTCTCACTTCCAGGAAGACTTGGAAGGCCACATTTTGTGCCCAATATCATCCATGTTCGTTCACAGGGGCCTGTTGTTTGTTCACATTTGTTACACCCCTGAATCTGCTTGTCCGCTGTTCCCATGGGGGGGGGGTCTTGCTGGACTGCCAGTGCCTTGTGTGACACTGTGGGCATCGGTGATGGATGCCCAGCACGGTGACGCCGCTTACCCTCAGTTGATGGCCAGTAAATCCAGTCTACAAATGAAGCGTCTGGTATCTGAGCTCACCTTCCCCAAGCTGGACTGGGGAGGGCTGCCACAGGTGCCCGGCGCAGGAGGACGGGACGGAATCCGGGTCACGACTTGCTTTAAGGGAAACCCCTCCATCGATTATTCTGATCATTGATTATTCTGACTGCACCTTAGCTGATTAGTTCTCTTAAGTCATGTGACGCACACGTCCTGGGCGTGGCAGCCCCACCAAACACACAGACGCTCCCCCCCCCAGTCTTTTACATCACATACGCCGGACCTCCTGCCTGTCATTTCTGATTCTTCATTCTCTACAAAAACAGCAACAGCGGTTTGGACTAAAGCGAATACAAAACGAGAGTTTCATCTGTCCGTCTTTGCCTGTCGTTATTGCTGGGGCGGGTCTGAGAGTCGGTCCTCGCACTGAAGTGTCTGTCCCCCCCCCTGTGCTGCAGGGACCTTTGACCGCAGTGTGACCCTTCTGGAAGTTTGTGGGAGCTGGCCGGAGAGCTTCGGCCTGCGCCACCTGTCATCCGTCGACACCACGGAAGAGGGTCTGCGAGAGCGCCTGGCGGACGCCATGTCTGAGTCGCCCAGCCGGGACATTGTGGGCTCTGGGACCGGTAAGCCCCTCCCTCTCCATAAACGTCAAAATACCATATAAACCGTAGATTAGGCACAACACGCTTTTGGCTTTAGGGTAAATATTCCAGTGCGGTCAGAAGGATCATGTCAGCCAGACGAATGACTGTAGTGTTTGGCATTAACAGGGTCGGGTGACGAGTGGGACGCGACCCCCTCTGATCCTCTCTCCCTCCTCAGCTGTAACTGATCTGGGATCAGCAGGAACGCCGGCAGTTTATTTGCGTTTGCAATTAGGATCCAGAAATCCCCGGTCTCCCCTCTGGCTGCGCGGTGGTCCGCTTCCGCCCCCAAGATTCAGGGGGTGCCGGGTTTCATGACACACATGATTATGATCACCCGGTTCCCCCCCCCCCGTATGTCTGCACCCCCAGCCGGTTCCGGGACCTCACTGGCCGTTTGGGTTCTGCATTTCTGAGGCTCATGCTGCATTCCTGTCAGGCGTGACCTCACTCGCCACTCTCAGAAACATGCCCCCCCCCCCCTCCCGGCCCTGCAGGAGTCGGCGAGCATCTTGCAGCTTTTCCTACCGCCTCTCCACATGACGTGTCTGGTTTCATCCCGCTAGTTTCCAGGTCACCCGTTCCAGCCGGGACTCAGCTCCGGTCTGACAGGGATGGTGAAGCAGTAATGTCCCATTTTGTTCATTTACTTAAGTAATGGGTGCTTTAAACGTCTCATTTTGCCCCCCACCCCCACCCCCACCACTCCCCTTCGTCATTGGCCTATGAGAGGCTGGTGCTTCTTCAGACATCCGGTTTGGCAGCTTGATGTCTAGCTCAGGTTTGTGAGGGGAGGGGGGGGGCGCAAAAGAACATATACACTACATTTCAAAGGTCTTAAAAATAATAAATGAGGTCGTTCGTGCTGAAAACCCAAAAAGGGGGGAAATCGCCATTTTGACAGTCCGAATGTTTAACTCGTTTAGGAAGCCGTGGCACCCCTCCCTCCCCACCCGCACTACCCCCCCCCCCCCTTAAGTGAACAAGAGCCGCTTTGATTTTTGAGGGGTATATGGGGGCCGGACTCCGGATTCTGCCGCTCGGAACAGGCAGGTCACAAGACGCTAATGTGTTTAGCATTGACGGCCCTCCCTTGTAGCACGTCGATTAGGCCCTGATTTGATTTGTACCTATTCATTTGCAGTCCCTGCTGCAGCCCCGAGTTGGCCCTCTCCCTAATTGGTTCTGTCTCTATTTTTGTTTCATTAGATTAACTTGGACTCCCGGACACTTGTAGTCTGTGCTTGTCCGTCCATTTATACGGCCTAATGTAACACAAAATTCATTACTGATCACATTACGTTCAACTCCTGGCCCCATGCTCTCCAATAAACATACAGTTAACCCTTCAGACACGGCTCCGGGACGGCGCGCCGGGAGAATGACCACCAGACACCCGCTGACGAATACCCCCGTGCCTGTCCGTTTACCTCTCTCTCTGCCTTTGTTGCCGTGTGACATGCTTACATCTGTTATTTTTGTGAGTCTTACTTTGGCAATAAATTAAAGGGGAAAACAATTTATAGTTTGCCAGAGGCTCAGTCCTGTCCTATCTGGAAGGTTATTAAAGGGGACCGTGTGTGTGTGTGTAATATCTGTTTTCACCAACCAAGATATGTAGTGTTGGTCGTTGCCAAATATCCTACAGTTTTTTTTTTGATATGGCCAGACCCCCCCTCCACCCACGGCGGGTTCGAGGGGGCCACGGCCCTACGCGATGACAGCGGGTTCCGGCCCAGCCGCTTTGAAGGGTGACAGCAGATGGTACGGCACTTGTGGGTCGAGGTGGTGTGAGGGTGAAGTGGTCATGGTGTGTGTTGGGGTTTGGGGGGGTGGGGGGTGGGGGCGCTTTACTAACAAGCATACCACAAGTGCCCCCCACCACCACAACCACCACCACCCAGCCTCCGTGCACAGCCGTGGTCCAGGTCTCTCTGTGAGTATGGTCTCACTGACAGCCTCCCCCCCCCAGACAAAGGCTGGCAGAGAGAGGCACCAAGGGGGGGGGGGGGGGGTGCGTGACACACACCACTGAAATGCACTCATGTTCAAATTAGATTTGCCCCTGCAGCATAATGTTGCAAATTGGATTTTGCTCATTGGTGCTAACCCAACATAAATTCCATTTTAGCAGCAGGGAGGACGCTGCCCCAAGGACTCGAGCATTCCCCGCGTCACGCTGTCCCCAGGACAAAACCCAGGGTCGCCCCCTCTGAGGGCCCTCGCTGTCACCCTGCGCATGCCCCGTAAGCATTAGAGTACCGTGAGGTCGGGTCCAGATGTGTCTGCGAGGCAGCAAGTGGTCATGTGACAGAAAGGCAGTCACATGACCCTCGTCTTAAGCAGGGTGATAAGCTGAGGGCCCTTACATACAGCCATACCTACAAGTGGGGGGCCGCGCCCCCTGCGTGTGGCATCTACCTGTAACCGTGTCTCTGCGTGTTAGGGGCAGGTGTCACAGGCAAAGTGGGTCACATGGGCCCCCAAACACAGAGTGAGCCGACCCCCCTACTCTGCCGGCTGAGGCTTCGTTATAGTACCTGCTTTGTGGGGGTGGGGGGTGCATCCGAGATCTCCGTGAGCATCTGGTCTCACCATCTGGCTCTGCCTGACCTGTGGGCTCATGTGCACACACACACATACACACATATACACACACACATACATACACACACACACCACACACACACACACACACACATACACACACACACATACATACACACACACACCACACACATACACACCA